GAGTACATTGTCCTGTGAAAACCTGAGAAATTCAAATGGACCATACCAATGGAACTGAACAGCTGATTCAGCCTGAGGAGCCTCTGCTTTTCCAGGTCCTCTCTCTTGATCCCATTCAAGATACAAGGGCAGGAGCTCTCCTTCATCCATCAGGAAGGGATCCCAGGCATTATGACCTTTCCAAGCTGATGCAGCAGTGGCCTCTCGCAGGAGCCATCAAAATGACTCCCTCAGCATTCCTGGGTGCAACACAAGCACTGAGGGACAGCCAGTCACACAGAACAAGAGGGGGCCCAGTCAGCACAAAGCACCCACAAACCACAGCACACGAGGGACACCAAATCACCTCACTCATGACATCACACCTTTCCTGGGCTCTGGGTGTTTACTCAGCCCTCCCTGACACACCTCCAACAACCCAAGCCTCCCACAAACCAACCCCTCCAAGCTGCCGCCAGCTGACAGTGCTGGGCCAAGGCTGGGCCGCCCCTGCGGGAGCTGCATAAAAGCCGGCCCAGCGCCTCTCTCCCTCACACGCTTCTCCTGACGCCTTCTCCTGCCTTCTGTGCCGCCAACCAGGTGAGCCTGCAGCCCCTGACAACCCCCTCCTGCTCCTGCCACACCGCCCCCCTGGCCCCTCTCTCCCAGCACGCTCTGCCCCAGCCTCAGCAGCCCTCACGCCTCCCCACAGCCCCACAGCAGCCTCCCCACTGCCTCGCCCTCCTGCAACACCGCCCCTTGCACCCCCACGGCCCTGCGCTGCCTCAGCCCCCTCTCTGCTCTGCTCTGCTCTTCTCTTCCCTTCCCTTCTCTTCTCTTCCCTGCCCTCACAGGGCCCCTCCACACCACACCCATGGCCTGCTACGACCTCTGCCGCCCCTGCGCACCCACCCCGCTGGCCAACAGCTGCAACCAGCCCTGTGTCACCCAGTGCCAGGACTCCACCGTCCTCATCCAGCCCTCCCCCGTGCTCGTCACCCTGCCAGGGCCCATCATGACCTCCTTCCCCCAGAGCTCCGCCGTCGGATCCAGCGCAGGGGCTGCCCTGGGCACGGAGCTCAATGCCCAGGGACAGCCCATCTCCGGCGCCTTTGGGGCCTTTGGCTACGGCCTCGGCTCTGCCCGTGCCTTTGGCTACGGCCTGGGAGGCCTGGGCTGCTACGGCACCAGGGGCTGCTCCACCTGCTGAGCCCCCAAACAACTGCCCCAACACCAACCACCCGCCACCTGCAATCCTCCACCTGCAACAGGGATTCATCTCCGGACCAAGGCTCTGGAGAAATCTCCTGCAAGGGAAGGACCTTGGCTGATGGTCGCCCCTCCTGGCACCTCAGACCAGATCCCTTCCCCTGATTCCTTGTTTCTTTTCTCTCTTTTGTCTCAATAAACTTCTCCTGCATCACAAACTCTGATGAGTCTTCTTGTTTTGTTTTAATGGCCCCTGAAACTCACATAAAAAAAGCCAGGGATCAACAGGCCATTGTGGTGGGTGGAAATGTCCTACAGGATCTTTCATAAAAAAAGGTGCCCCCAGCCCTAACACACAGACTGCACAGGGTGGCGGACCTTCCAGAACATGGCACAAAAAAAAATTTAAAAAATCACCTGGTATACCAAAGGCTCCCACACCACAATGGTCTCACCTGAGCACACCACACCAAAGGCTCTGTGCTCCTGCACACACTGCACAAACTTTCTGCCACAGCAGGACTCTTCAGCACTCTCATCCAAACTCCTGTATGGCAGCAACTCTGGAGAGCAAGTGCTTCAACACCCCTGCTCAAGCAGGGCCAGACAGAGCAGCACTTGCAGGACTTTGGTCAGTGCACTTTTAGCTCTCCAGCACAGAGACCCCACCAATTCTTCCATGCTGTAGCCACCCTCACACTGGAAAATCCCTGCCTTCCTTGCCAGAGGAATTCCATCTGATTCCCCAGTGCCCATTGTCTCCCCTCCTGCCCGAGGGCATCCCTGCCAAGAGCTGAGCTCACCCAGATCTGCAGGGGCAGTGCAGGGGCAGGGACAGCACTGGAGGAAACGGCTGGAGCTGAGGCAGGGGAGGGTTAGGGTGGATATAAAGGAAGAGGTTTTCACCCAGAGGGTGGTTGAGCACTGGAACAGGCTCCCCAGGGCAGTGGGCACAGCACCAAGCCTGTCTTGATTTCTAAAAGGGGGTACAGAACACTTTGAAGGACACAGTGGGATTGCTGGGCTGCCCTGCCAGAGCCGGGAGTTGCATTCCATGATCCTGAGGGGACCCTTCCAGCTCACAATATTCTGTGATTCCATGATTTCAGGGCAAAAGATCATTAACTCCAAACATTTCCCCAGCATGGCCAAACCCACCACTTCACCCATGTCCCCAAGTGCCACATCCACAGGGCATTTACAGCTCTCCAGGGATGGTGACTCCACCACTGCCTTGGGCAGCCTCTGCCAAGAACTGACAACCCTTCCCTGGAAGGAATTTTCCCATAGAGGCAACTCAGCCTCCCTGGGGCAACTTGAGCCATTTCCTCTCCTCCCATGGCTTGGTAGCAGGGACACAACACTGACACTGCCCTTGTTCTGAGCCCCATTCAGGGAACTCCAGAGAGCAACCAGCTCACTCCTCTCCTGCTGAAAATCCAACAGCCCCAGTCCCTGCCACTGCTCCTCACGGGGCTTGTTCTCCTCACCCTTCCCCACTTGCCCTTCCCACGTGTCCCAGCAGAGCCCAGCACTGGGAGCCCAGAGTGGGACCTTGCTGGGCCCAGCTCACACCAGCGCTACGGATGAACCAACACGAGACTGGGGGAGAACGGGAGGGCTCCCTGAATCACAGGCACTGCTTTCCCAATCCCACTGGGAAAGGCCAGGGATAGGGACAGGCTGGCAGAGATGGAACCAAGGAGGGGAGCAATGACTACAGTGCAAGGGGCAGCTCCTCCTGTCTGGTCCAGCTAAAAAGGTACAGCACAGCCTGACAGGGCTCGGATGCTTTGGGGCCCCTCCTCACAACACACCCCAAACCACAGCACATGAGGGACACGGGGGGACCTCACTGATCACACCCCACCTCTCCAAAGCTTTGCTCACATCTCCAGCCCTCCCTGACACGCCCCATCACCTCCAGCCTTTGGCCTCCAATACTGACAGTGAAAAGCTGCTGCCAAGGTCAGAGGGACACGGCCTCAAGGGCAGGACATGAATCCCACAATTTCACAAAGGAATGCCCACACCATGACAGAAGGGGAAGGAGGAGCTCACTGACCTTCCACTGGCAATTGTGGTTTTTTGCTCACAGGACCACAACACTAAAATTGACGGGTCATGTGCAGGAAACCTCACGGCTTCAATGAGGAATCAGTGCAGTGACATCACAGACCAGCCTGGAAACAAAGGCATCCAGCCCAGTTTGTTCCTTCTTGATTGGATTTCTTGATCAGGTCAGGAAATACAGTTCACATCACAGAGTAAATGTCCTGTCAATGTGAGAAATGACATGGAACAGAACACTGGAACAAGGCCACCCTGACCAGCTTCTGCAGTTCCACATCCATCCTCTTGCTTCCTTCAAGACATGAGGGGCTGAGGCCTCTTTCCACCAGAAGGAAGCCCTTGGAGGATTGATGACCTTTCCAAACCAATCAACAGTGACCTCCACAGCACATCAATGAGCTCCCCTGGCATTCCTGGGTGCAGCCCAGGGATTTATTTACATCCAGGTGTACAAAAGAAGAGGGTCCACGCTCCACAACACACCCACAAATGAGAGCACATGGGGTGACCTCACTGCTGACACCCAAATGCTCCAAGGCTTCCACTGCTGATTCAGCCCTGCTGGAGACGCAGATTCCACGGAACTGCTCCCAAACACCAACTGTCCCTTGAAAGCTGCCGCCAAGGGCAGATGGACACGGCCTCAAGGGCAGGACATGGAATCACAGAATTCCACAAAGGAACATCCACAAAATGACAGAAGAGGAGAGTGGAGCCCACTGACCATCCACCAGTAATTACAGTTTTTGCTCACATGTACAGGATGTTACAACCTATGGGTTCTATGTTATGAAACCTCATGGCTTGAATGTGGAATAAGAGAATTGGGGACCGAGCCCAGCCTGGGCAAAAATGGATACAGCCCTGCTGGGTGATTGTTTATGGCAGTTCTTTATCAGGCCAGGAAATACAGTTTAAAAGAAAAGAGAACATTGTTCTGTAGATTTGAATAATCCAAATAAAGAATAAAAATGAAACAAGCTCAGCTTGAGTAGCCTCTGGTTTTCCAGATCCTCTCTCTTGATTCAAGATACAAAGGCAGGAGTTCTCCTTCATCCATTGGGAAGCACTCCCAGGAAGAACGACCTTGGCAAGCTGATGGAGAGTGGCCTCCCCAGGATATCAAATGGCTCCCTCAGCATTCCTGGGTGCAACACAAGCACTGAGGGACATCCAGTCCCACAGAACAAGAGGGGGCCCAGTCAGCACAAAGCACCCACAAACCACAGCACACGAGAGCCACCACATCACCTCCCTCATGACATCACACCTCTCCTGGGCTCTGGGTGTTTACTTCAGCCCTCCCTGACACACCTCCAACAACCCAAGCCTCCCACAAACCAACCCCTCCAAGCTGCCGCCAGCTGACAGTGCTGGGCCAAGGCTGTGCCGCCCCTGCGGGAGCTGCATAAAAGCCGGCCCAGCGCCTCTCTCCCTCACACGCTTCTCCTGACGCCTTCTCCTGCCTTCTGTGCCGCCAACCAGGTGAGCCTGCAGCCCCTGACAACCCCCTCCTGCTCCTGCCACACCGCCCCCCTGGCCCCTCTCTCCCAGCACGCTCTGCCCCAGCCTCAGCAGCCCTCACGCCTCCCCACAGCCCCACAGCAGCCTCCCCACTGCCTCGCCCTCCTGCAACACCGCCCCTCGCACCCCCACGGCCCTGCGCTGCCTCAGCCCCCTCTCTGCTCTGCTCTGCTCTTCCCTTCCCTTCCCTTCTCTTCTCTTCCCTGCCCTCACAGGGCCCCTCCACACCACACCCATGGCCTGCTACGACCTCTGCCGCCCCTGCGCACCCACCCCGCTGGCCAACAGCTGCAACCAGCCCTGTGTCACCCAGTGCCAGGACTCCACCGTCCTCATCCAGCCCTCCCCCGTGCTCGTCACCCTGCCAGGGCCCATCATGACCTCCTTCCCCCAGAGCTCCGCCGTCGGATCCAGCGCAGGGGCTGCCCTGGGCACGGAGCTCAATGCCCAGGGACAGCCCATCTCCGGCGCCTTTGGGGCCTTTGGCTACGGCCTCGGCTCTGCCCGTGCCTTTGGCTACGGCCTGGGAGGCCTGGGCTGCTACGGCACCAGGGCTGCTCCCATCTGCTGAGGGTCCTCCACAACACCCCCTCACACTCTGATCTCGAGTTTCTGAAATCTGATGTAAATGGTTTCATCTTTGTGGTTGCTCTTTGCCTGCTGGTCAGCTGGCTTTTTCTTTCACCATGTGTGTTAGTTCTGGCTGATTCAGATCTTTCTTGTTCTGTGAAGCTTGGATCTCACCCACAATCACAAAGGATCAGATCCCTAGGTGGGCAGCCTGTTTTCTTGTCATGAGCCCCCTATTTGCCATATTGCTACCACAGACAGGGCTTGCTTCAGTATTAGCCAACATACTCTTTGTCAAACTCCAGCAGTATCTCTGCAGCACCTGACCAGTCTCTCTAGGCCTGCTTTTGCTCTGTAATATCTCTCTTACAGCAGCTCATCTTTCTTAGGCAGGTGCCATCTTAGTTTGGCTGGATGGTTGGTGCTTCAGCTCTCTCTGCTCTCATTTGCTGGTTAAAAAACATGGTTTCTGGACAGTGGATATGATGACTGCTTAGACTGAACCACTCTACCACCCAGCTTTCAGAGCTTCTTATGAAGCGTTCCAGCTCTCTTCTTCTATACCATTTTATATACCAGTGTATCATACAGCGATGAAGGCTAGATATCACTCCTTTACACCAGGATTATCTTTACAGTGTTTTCTTGCCATATATATAAATCTCTCTTTCTTCATACAGAAGATGTCTGCTCTCTCATTATGGTATTTTGGAGATCACTAAATCAGGGCATACAGAAGCCTGGTATTATGAGTCTCTTCTAGAGATACTCACCATAGAGTTGTGGTCTTATGACCACTTCATCACTTTACTGAATCATTGAACAGCCATTTTCTTTCCCTTTGTTTTATTTTGGATGTGTTTTCAACCTGGCTGCCACAGGGCAGATCTGTGGGCAGATGATTCATTAGCCTTCCTGAACTGTTCCCACTCTTCCTGGTGTTACTCTATGACAGCTCATAGTTTCATATCAACTCAGGTTCTTGTATGCATATTACTCTATTTGGAGGCATTGGGATGTAGCTCTGTTGCCTCTTGCACATATTATCTTTGCCTGACCCACTCTTTAGAACTCTGTTTAACCTTTGGTGCTTCTCTTTACTGAACATTTGTGTGCTGGGAAATAATCAGACTGGTATCTCAGTGACCTATAGGCTTCAGATACTTACCATGGACAGAAGCATATTGAGAAGTGCACTCTTGGCCATGGCCGGACAAGGATTTAGGCTAGATCTTAGCCTTTACAAGGCAGAGGCTGACATCTCTTGGCTACAGTTCGTTTGGGACATTGGATTGACGTCAGATGTGGTGACCAGGAAGGATTGGAAGAGGCAGGAAGGGCCAGCACCTCGTTAGAAACCAGGCAGGCTTGGAGGCTGGGATGCTTTGGGGCCCCTCCTCACAACACACCCCAAACCACAGCACACGAGGGACACGGGGGGACCTCACTGATCACACCCCACCTCTCCAAAGCTTTGCTCACATCTCCAGCCCTCCCTGACATGCACCATCAACTCCAGCCTTTGGCCTCCAATACTCACAGTGAAAAGCTGCTGCCAAGGTCAGATGGACACGGCCTCAAGGGCAGGACATGGAACCTCAGAATTCCACATAGAAAATTTTCTTATGAGACAAGAGGAGAGAGAAGCTTGACAACTGTCCACTAGTGATTCCAGTTCTTTCATCAAAGGTCCAGGATGTTACAACTTTGGGGTATAAATTAGGAAACCTCATGGTTTGAATGCAGAAAAAGCCAACTGCCCAGCCTGTTGGGTTCAGGGATCAGGCCCAGCTGGTTGTTTCTTTCTTGGATTTCTTAATGAGGTAAAAACACACACTTTGAATGACAGAGGATGCTGTCACATGAATTTGAGAAATGCAAATGGAACATTACACTGGAACAAGGCCAACCTGACCAGCCTCGACTTCTCCAGTTCCTCCCTCTGGATCATCCTGTTCAAGCCAAGAGGGGAATGAGCTCTCCTTTCCCATCAGGAAGAGCTTCCAGGCACTGTGAGCTTTCCAAGCTATTGGAGAGGGACCCCTGAACATCACCCAGCTCCCTCAGCACTCCTGGGTGCAACACAAAGGCTGATGGACATCCAGTCACACGGAACAAGAGGCTCCACAATTCCCAACACCCCCACAACCCACAGCACACGAGTGCTCACAGGCTGAGCACACTGAGGGCACCCCACCTGCCACAGCTTTGCTCACACCTCCAGCCCTGCCTGAAACGAACCTGGTATGAAATCCTCCCAAATCCAACACTCCCCTAAACGCTGCCGCCAAGCTGAGATGGACACGGCCTTGAGGGCAGGACATGGAATCACAGAACTCCACAAAGGAATGTCTGCACTGTGACAGAGGAGGAGAGAGGAGAACACTGACCAATCACCAGGCATTATAATATTTTACTCATATCTACAGGATGTTACAACTTACAAGTGATACGTTATGAAACCTCATGGCTTGAATGTGCAAAAAGGGAATTGGGGTCACAGCCCAGCCTGGGCACAAAGGGATCGAGCCCCGTTGGGTCATTGTTTACGGCTTTTCTTAATCAGGCAAGAAATACAATTTAAAGGAAAGAGAACATTGTTCTGTAGATTTGAGTAATTCAAATGGAGCATAAAAATGAAACAAGTTCAGGCTAAACAGCCTCTGGATTTTCAGATCCTCTCTCTGGATCCCATTCAAAATACAAGGGCAGGAGCTCCCCTTCATCCATCAGGATGCACTCCCAGGAAGAATGACCTTGGAAGCTGATGGAGAGTGGCCTCCCCAGGACCCACAAAATGACTCCCTCAGCATTCCTGGGTGCAACACAAGCACTGAGGGACATCCAGTCCCACAGAACAAGAGGGGGCCCACTCAGCACAAAGCAGCCACAAACCACAGCACACGAGGGCCACCAAATCACCTCCCTCATGACATCACACCTCTCCTGGGCTCTGGGTGTTTCTGCAGCCCTCCCTGACACACCTCCGACAACCCAAGCCTCCCACAAACCAACCCCTCCAAGCTGCCGCCAGCTGACAGTGCTGGGCCAAGGCTGTGCCGCCCCTGCGGGAGCTGCATAAAAGCCGGCCCAGCGCCTCTCTCCCTCACACGCTTCTCCTGACGCCTTCTCCTGCCTTCTGTGCCGCCAACCAGGTGAGCCTGCAGCCCCTGACAACCCCCTCCTGCTCCTGCCACACCGCCCCCCTGGCCCCTCTCTCCCAGCACGCTCTGCCCCAGCCTCAGCAGCCCTCACGCCTCCCCACAGCCCCACAGCAGCCTCCCCACTGCCTCGCCCTCCTGCAACACCGCCCCTCGCACCCCCACGGCCCTGCGCTGCCTCAGCCCCCTCTCTGCTCTGCTCTGCTCTTCCCTTCCCTTCTCTTCCCTTCTCTTCTCTTCCCTGCCCTCACAGGGCCCCTCCACACCACACCCATGGCCTGCTACGACCTCTGCCGCCCCTGCGCACCCACCCCGCTGGCCAACAGCTGCAACCAGCCCTGTGTCACCCAGTGCCAGGACTCCACCGTCCTCATCCAGCCCTCCCCCGTGCGCGTCACCCTGCCAGGGCCCATCATGACCTCCTTCCCCCAGAGCTCCGCCGTCGGATCCAGTGCAGGGGCTGCCCTGGGCACGGAGCTCAATGCCCAGGGACAGCCCATCTCCGGCGCCTTTGGGGCCTTTGGCTACGGCCTCAGCTCTGCCCGTGCCTTTGGCTACGGCCTGGCAGGCCTGGGCTGCTACGGCACCAGGGGCTGCTCCACCTGCTGAGCCCCCAAACAACTGCCCCAACACCACCAGCTCGGGGCTCTGCCAACACCTCCTGCAAGCAAAGCACCTCAGCTGACCATCGCCCTCCTGGCACCTCACACCAGATCCCTTCCACTTGTGTCTCTTGCTTTTTCACTCTTTTCTCTCAATAAAGTTCTCCTGCAGCAAAACATCAGATGCCTCCTCAGCCTTTCTTCTCCCAACTCTCCCAGAACTTCCTTTGGCACAGAGCTCTGGCACCAGATGCCATCGCATGGGGGGAGAAGGGACCAGCTCTCTCCTAGGAAATATTTCACAAGCATCAACACACACTGGGACAGAAGGGCCTTCCCCAATGGGACACAAACTCTTCCCTTGCCCAAACACAGCCTTGGACACACCACCCACCTCTCTGACACAAACTCCCAGGGGGTGCTGCCTTAAGTGTCCATGGACACCGCGGGCTCCAGCCCTTCATCAGCCCCAAGGCTCTGCTTGCATTAGAGAATCATAGAATGAACTGGGCTGGAAGAGACCTCCGAGATCATCAAGTCCAACCCTGGATCCAACCCCACTGTGATTACCAGATCATGGCACTCAGTGCCACATCCAGCCTCATCTTAAAAACCTCCAGGGATGGGGAATCCACCACCTCTCTGGGCAGGCCATTCCAATGCCTGATCACTCTCTCTGCAAAGAACTTCTTTCTAATAGCCAACCTAAAGCTCCCCTGGCACAGTTTAATCCTGTGCCCTCTTGTCCTGCTGTTGATTGCCTGGGAGAAGAGACCGACCCCCACCTGGCTACAACCTCCTCTCTGGGAGTTGTAGAGAGTGATGAGGTCACCCCTGAGCCTCCTCTTCTCCAGACTAAACAACCCCAGCTCAATGTCCTTCCTGGCCTGAGGGGCCCAGAACTGAACACAACACTCAAGTTGTGGCGTCACCAGCACGGGTTCCAGGGCAAGGATCACTGCCCTGCTCCTGCTGCCACCCTGTTCTTGATGCAGTTCAGGATGCCACTGGCCTTCTTGGCCCCCTGGGCACACTCTGGCTCATGTTCAGCCTCCTGTCAATCAGCATCCCCAGGTCCCTTTCCACCTGGCTCCTCTCCAGCCACTCTGTCCCAGCCTGGAGCGCTGCAGGGGTTGTTGTGGCCAAAGGGCAGGACCTGGCACTTGGCCTGGTTGATCCTCATCCCCTTGGAATCAGCCCATGGATCCAGCCTTTCCAGGTCCTTCTGCAGAGCCCTC